TGGACATGTCTATGTTCCAATAAAACTTTATTTACAAAAAATGGCAGTGGGATAGATTTGTCCTTTATATTATAGATACCAACCCTGCTATCCAACAGTGTATAAAAACAATGGTTTTCTTGGTAAAAGAATAGGAGAAGAGGGAAGTACTTGCATTCCTAAGACTAGCACAGTGCTTGATAACTATTTACTAAATGAATGAGTAGTTGAACAAATAATTGCAGAGAGACTACAGTCAAAGAAAAGAAACAATGAATTTATGGTCTTGTTGGTATAGCAATTCACAATTCTGTCAAGGTCCAACATGGCTCAAGCAGACTGGAAAGAAGCCATTAAAACTGAGTAAGTAGATTTCAAGTGAAAGGAATTAAAAATCAAGAACTAAGAAATCAAGCTGTCAGCTATATTATCAATGTAGTTATTAAAGTTTTTTAAAGAAAAATCAGCATGGAAAGGAAAGATATGAATGAAGAACCAAAATTACAAAGCTAAAAGAGAGCTGTGTTAAGCAACACGATGAAGTGGAAGAAAACTGTACAGTGAAACAGTCGAGTGATAGTGATCTCTCCTCAAAGGAGTTCTCATCAAGGGAATGGAGAGTCTATCGAGGAAGATAAAAAACTGTGGAGGGAGAATAAATGATGAAAAGCTATATTTCAGCTAAAAAAAAGAAGAGAGCCTGAAAGTAGATCACAGATGGGCTCATGCCATGCCTCTGTCCATATTGTACTCACATCTGCAGTACTAGGGACAGGCAAGGCTGGGTGTCTGCCTGGTTCTATCAACCAGGATATACCATATGTGTGGATAAAGCTGGCAGTGACTCAGAGACACCATGCATGGAAAAAAAAAATCAGCAGCTGATACTGCTGGAGATTGAAATGGTGTGCTGGAAACAGATGAAGCTAGAAATCTAGGCAAGGACTATATTTGGGAGGTCCTTGTATGACCTCCCAAATATAAGAAATCAAGATTTTTATCCTTTAATTTATCAAGGATAATTAGAAGTAATAAGCAGTTAACTAAGACAAAATCACTTTGGTGGCAAGAAAGAGAACATATTCAAAGAAAGGCAGGAGGCTAGTTTAACGGCTAATGCAATCAATCTAGTCAAAAAGTATGAGTCTTAAGTTTATTCAATTAGTCGCACAAATATTTAAGAAGCATATATGCATGGTTCTGTGCTAAGTGCTGGAGAAATCAAATGAAAAAAATATAGTTACTGTCCTCATGAAGATCAATCTAGTTAGAAAAATAACATAAAGAATGATTATAGTACCATGTGATAAATTCAATAATGAAAGGATAATACAAGGCAGCATAGTGGAAGGAGTGCTTAGTTCTGAAGAATCCCTTGAGGTCTTAATGAATTATTTGAGATTAGTCAGGTGTGAGTTAATTATGCAGTCCTCAAAAGGAGATGCCTAGGAATTCAGCGCTCAACAGTGAAGATAATGGCAATGATGACAACAGCAATCAACATGTATTTACTAAATGGCGGTCGGTGTCCTAAGTTCTTTACATATATTGATTCAATTAATGCTCAAAATTACCCTAAGAGGTAAGTGCTATTATCATTTCTATTTTATAAAAAAAGAAATCGAGGTGCAGAGATGTAATTCGTCTACGGTTACAAGGCTACTAAGTAGTAGAACCAGGATTTTTACTTAGGGCTCCGTATTGCCTCTCTTACGCAGTGATAAAGATTTGGGATTTATCATGACATAATGGCAGCTGATGACCTGAGTGTAGATAATGTCTGCAAAAGAAAGTATAGAGACTGAAGAGAAGTTTGAGAATGCGAAGCAATGGAAAGAAGCAATAGTTTCAAATATCTATAGAGAACTGGAATAAAATAAGGTCCAAAGAGAGTCTGTTGCATTTGACAACTGGGCTATATTATTACAGACCAATGTTAAATAATTTAAGCGGAGTGGTAGCGGCAAGAAAAGGGGTTTAGAGATAATGGGAGGAAAAAAAGTACAGAAACACATTAACTATACTTAAAAAAAAGTTGGCTGTGAAGAGAGTAAAGAGCAGGTTACAGGGAGCTGCAGGAAGGAGACTGTGGCTCAAAGGAGAATTTCTACTTTTTCCTCTTTCTTTCCCCAATTGGAAGAACCATGAACATATCTATCATCAGAATAAAGATAATGAAAAAAGAATAGAGACTGAAGCTATAAGGAAAGAAAAAGGATGGCTGATGTATCAGTGCTTAGAGAAGTGAGAAGATAGGAACAGCCTTAAGTGTGCAGAAGAGGGGCACAAAAGTTCAGAGTTCATGGTTAGTGGCCTCTATCTTTGTGAAATAGAAGGTGAGGTCCCCTACTGAGTGACGGACCCAACAAAAACTCTTGTTTTTGGAATAGTCACCAAAAAGAACAGGGGAATGAGCAAATAAAGGATAAAAAACTTATCGAGATGTAAAAACCCAGTGGAGACTACAAGAAAGAAAAGCCATGCATACATACAGGGAATCAATCCTTTCCATTAAAGAATTTCTCTTGCTGTGTTGCAACTCACATAGGAGAGAATAAAGACAGATTTTATAACTACTACAGGATTTGAAGTTTACAGAATGGGTAAAGCGTAATGACAAGGTGACATGAGAGCATGATGGTGATCATTCAATTCATATAGAAGTCCATGGATTAGACAAGGAGGTGAACCAGGAGGAGAAAAAAACGGACAAGTCAAGGAATAGGAAACATCATTAAAAAGAAATAGGTTTAGTAGGAAAAGAGTAGGAGAGGTAGAAAGGTAAAAAGTTATAGTATGCTCCACTTGAGAGTATGTCTGTTTTGGTCACACCTAGTTAGTCAATAAACATCTACTACCTGAACAATTAGTCAAAGAATAAAATATTGGGGTTTAAGAGTTGCCTGTTATGACAAAATTGAGAGTATTATCACTGATGTGAGTTGCTGAATAAAATTGGAAAGCAGGGTCCCTAAAGACAATATGGTCAAGATACACTGAGGCTTAAATAATGACTGTATAACTGATGGTGTGGGTAAGTACAGAGAAGACTTTGAAACATGTGACAAAGTCTACGTATGAGGGTCCAAAAAAAAAGTTGACAAATGATAACGAAAAGGAATTGAGTGGGTAGAGCAAAACCGCTGAGGCCTCAAAGGAGAGACATTTTGTTTGAAGGTGGAAAACAAATGCTTTGGGAAGAGCACTGAAAAGCTGGAGAGCAATAACTTCTCCCTTCCAGCTTTGAGGCAAAGGATGGGGAAGGAAGAGGATGTGGGAGAATAAGCAGCCCCTGCTAGAGAAGTGGTGTCCCTGGGAAAGCGCCAGGTTTCAGTTAAGGCCAGGAGGGGCAAGGAACATTATGTGAAGAGGAACAGGGGCTCCAGAAGGCAGAGTGAAAAGGGGTGGGAGGAAAGCAGTGGGAGGATGAGCCAGGAGGGAAAGTACAGAGCAATACGGGAATGAGATTATGAAGATAGGAAGCCAGAAAGGCTTATATTTTTGGTCATTGCAAGGATGCTAGAGATGAGAGTCATGGAAACAATTAATGGCTGAAAGGTCTGAATCGGAAGTTTGGAACAAAGCAGTCCAAGTGTTCTCAGGGTCTAATTTCTAATAGCCTCTTAGATATTTTAATTACAGAAACAGCAGATTCTTACCCAGTGAGACCAGGTTTCCATAATTCTCCATCATGACATCTTTATACAAGCTTCTCTGAGCTGGATCCAGATAATCCCACTCCTCCTGGGTAAAAAACACAGCCACATCCTCAAATGTCAGCAACCCCTGAAATAGTATGATTTCTGTAGTCAGTTCTTGTTGTCTCAAGGACAATTCTACCACTGTAAGTAGCAGAAGCAATCACTTATCTGGGCCAGACAGGCTAGAAGGAACATAATAACAGTTCCAAATGGGGCCCAATTCTTGGAACAAACTGTAATAGAAGGGCACCTCAGGCTGGATCCTTGTCCTCGCTAGTAAGGAGCCAAAGGATCAAGCTTTTCTGGTGTAATAGTTATGTCCTAATATTTTAATTTCAGTAAGCTGCCCCAAGTTTCCTTCACCTTGCCGTCCCATTCCAATTCTCTATTCGCACTGGCTTGTGACCCTGTTCAATTCAATTTCATGAAGTTCTCTTAAGCGTCTATCTTGGATCCAAGCATCATGACAAACACAGAAGACACTACGGAGGGTCAAAAACGATGCCTCACCTGGAATAATTCCATTCACAAATGAGAGCGCTAGTTTGGAGCATTACTAATTTTCTGTACTTGATTTATCAAGTCACTCTTGAGAAAAAGAAAAAAAAAAAAAAGGAGCCAGTGGGCAGTTTGGTCACGAACCGCACCCTAAAGCAGTAGGGGGTACTTCTTGCACTATGCTCGCCCTAAAGACCACAGTCTGAGAGGTGGGAGCGGGTGTGGGGGTGGCGCGGCCTAGCTTGGGTAGTGGAGAAAGAAGATACCCGGAGGGGCGACTTACCTTAGGCTCCAGCGGTGGACTCGGGGAGGCCATCTCTTGGCCAGAAATCAGGGCAGGAACTTGGGGCGGCCGCACGGAAAGGAGCCTCTCGTGAGGCCTACTGGATAGTTGGAGATTAGGCCCGACGAAGGGGAGGCCTCCAGGATGGGTCTGGCCAGGTCCTGCCTCAGTCCCCGAGCGGTCACGACCCCAGCAGCATATCAGTTGCGTTCTGTGACCGCCCCCCACCCCCTAACCCCCTCCCCTGCGTGGCTGCGCAGCATTCTAGGCCTCGCTACAGCCTCCTCCCAGTTGCTAGTTCCTCCTCCTTTCAGCCTAGTGGTGCTCTGACCGCCCGCCCCCAGACCAGAAGGCGTCACCCGGAACCTTCCCGGGACGCCCCCCAACTACAACTCCCGTCATGCTCCGCGAGAACGTTACGGTCCAGACTCTGTCGGCAATGCAGACAAAGACTACATTTCCCGGCATGCAAAGGGCGAGGGATCCTCGGGTGAGTAGTCACAGAAAGAGAGAACATCCGCCACTAAATTGACACGTGATTGGATAATCCTGGAGCGTCCCTGCCGGCCTGGTCGGAGCTCTAGCCTGTAGCTGTCCTCCGAGATGGCGGCTGTTTCAGGGCTGCGTTTTACCAGAAGAGGCCTCACGTGGATGATCGCAGGGACGCCACGCAGAGAATTTTGGTCTCGATTCAGGTAAAGCGGAGGGTTAGGTGGTGGATCACATTCACGGAAAGTAAAGAGAGAAACTGAGAAGGAAGAAGGGACGAACTGAAAAGAGTGTTGTGCCATTAAGACGGGACTCAAGAAAGTGCTGTTAGGGTGCCGAGTTCAGAAGCTTCAGCGCGGGTCTCCGCGAATGGTGGGGCTCAGTCACTTCTCTTCTTGGCCTCAGTTTTCTCATTGTGTAACAGAACACTGTTCCCTTTCCCTGCCACTGCACTCACTAACTTAGGAAGCAAACTACTGAGTTTGAGTTCCAGCCACCAAGTGTGATGTCGGGAAACAAATGACTCCTTTGGAGAGAGCAGCTTAGAACATAAATGTGGAAGTGCTCGGTAAACTAAACTCACTTGCGGGATATTTCTAAGCAAGCAAAATTCAGCGGTGAAGTGCAACCTCCTCATTTGGTTGGTTTGTTCATTGATTTACCCAACAGATATTAAATGCCTGCTCTGGCCCAGCATTTCTCTAAGTAGAAACAAAGTCCCTTGTCAGAGCTTAAGTACTCTGACTTAAGAGGAAACCGAGGCCCTACAGAGAGAAAGTATTTTTCTAAAAGGCACAAGTTAACGGCAGAGTTGGATCTAGAGTCTGGGTCTCTTCACTCCCCATTTACTGATTTTCCCACAGTACCATGTGGAATCTTTTGAAGGAAAATTTAGACTCGTGTAGTGTTAGGGCAACAAAACTTGTGGAAACCTCAGGGAACAATGTGTGCATTCCCTCTTAGTTTTCAAACAAAAACTCCTTCACTCCAGAAGGATTTTTGTTATCAGCTTATGTATTTATTAGCTTCTAGTCTTTTTTGGTTACTATTTGTTATTTCTCAAATCTCCTTCAAATTTGTTGCATTCACTCATTCAACAAATATTTAAAGAATGTCTACTATATGCCAGATATGTAGGTGTTAGGGATATGATTGTTAAACAGACCAAATCTTTGTCCTCATAAAGCATGTGATCTGGTAGATAAAAAAATGAACAAATACAGAATATTTTGTGATCTGGTAGATAAAAAAAGCATGTGATCTGGTAGATAAAAAAATGAACAAATACAGAACAAATTTCAGAAAATGGTAAATTATGAAGTAAACTAGAACAGTTTAAAAGGTTACTGAGATGGAAGGAATGAATTACACTTCATTCAGATGAGATGTGACTGGACTAGTTTGAGGAGAAAATGGCAGTGAGGAAGTAAAGACTGTAAGTATAGACAACTCTTTTGAGAAGTTTTGTTGTAAAGGAAGCTAGAGAGGAACATGGAAACTTGGAATTTTTTTCTTTAAAGGGTGGCGATGTCATAGAGTATTGTGTGCCCTAGGAGTACTCAGTATATAGGGAGACATCGATAAAGAGTTGATACCGAAAGAGGGCTAAATTTCTGGAAGAGTCCGAGTGGACAAAGAGGAATAGTGTTGCAAACTATACTGTTGGCCAACGTTGTTCATTCCAGTGCTTCCAATTTCTATAGAGACGACCAGTCCCAATCTAATGCTAACTCCATGGAAAACAAGAGTCAGTTCATAAGCAGATATTTTATTAAGCACTGAAATAGTGTCAGGCAGATTCCCTCACGTTGGTCCATCAACTCAATATGAATTATGCAAGTAGTTTTCAAAAAACCCCAAAGTCAATAAAACAGTTCTCTATATTTAGGAGTTGATAATCTAGCATGGCAGTTCCTAACCGGGGGCAATTTTGCCCACTAGGAAACGTTTGACAATTTTTTGGTTGTCGAGACTTGAGGATAGGTGTACTACTGGCATTCACATTAGTGCGAAGAGGCCAGGGATGCTGCTAAGCATCCTACAATGAACAGGATAGCCCCTCACAACAAAGAATTATCTGGTTCAAAGCATTTATGTTTGGGTTGAGAAACTTTGATCTGGTAAGAGAAGTAGAATGTCAATAAAATGGAAACAGGTAGAATTCAGTTTTCTCCAAGAGCAATATGAAGTGCTATAGGAGAGCAAAGAAACATATTAAAGTCGTATTTGATTGAGGAAATCAGGTAAAGGTCTTTGGAGGAGACAGTTTTGTCCTAAGACTTAGAAGATGAGTAGAATTTCTACAGATAGAGATGAAAGACGGGCATTTCAGATAGGTTATAACTTGAACTAATATATGATGTCAGGAAAGTAGGAAATAGAATGTAGTTTAGTTTGTATAGGGCATAGAGTATACATAGGAGATTAGTGAAAGATGAGGTTAGAGGAGGCAGATTGGGTTTGGATCTTGGAGGACTGGGAATCACAGAATGATTTACCTTCTTCACCCATCCTTGGCAATTCTTAGAGCATGGAAAATCTGTAATTAGCTTTTGCTTTTTGCACAGACAAAAAACAAAGACAAAAGCTAATTATAGGTTTTCCATGCTCTAAGAATTTACATCAGTTCATCTATAAGCTGTTTCTCTCCACCTTGGCCTGAAGAGTAGTAAGCGTGCAATGTATTTGTTGATTTAGATTGGTGGGCAAGATTGGTTCTGGTGTTTGTCAGTTTGTCAACTTCATTAATGCAGTGAACCAAAGATTCACATATTTCTTTTTGATCATTCCAGAGAAGAGAAAAAGCCAGTAGTGGCAGAGATTGTGGAAGAGGTGAAGAAAGAACCTACCCTGGTGTGCCCACCCTTACGAAGCCGAGCATACATACCACCTGAAGACCTCCAGAATCGTTTGCAATCTCATGTCAAAGAAATTTTTGGCTCATCTGCTTCTAGCAATTGGAAGGACACCTCCTTGGAAGATGGTCACTTGAAGTTCAGGTTCTTGGCACATTTAGCTGATGACTTGGGCCATGCAGTGCCTAACTCCAGGCTTCACCAGATGTGCAGTGTCAGAGATGTTCTTGATTTCTATAATGTGCCTGTTCAAGATAGATCCAAATTTGATGAACTGATTGCCAGTAATCTGCCTTCCAATTTAAAAATCACTTGGGGTTACTGAGCAGTTCAGAAGAGGAGCACATTGAAATCATTTTTTCCCCCTGAGCAAAGGGGCTGCTTATCATATCTTTTGATGCTTTGCCATGTGAAACACTGTCAGAACTGTTCTCTAAAACCATTTTTTCTGTGGAAAAATGCATCATTATTTTTCTCCTATCATTATGATTTGACAATAGGATTTTATTTTTTTTACATTTGTTCAAACTTTTTTTTTAAAGGAATCAAGTCATTAATAATTTATGAAAATCTTCTCTTGAGGATACTAATTAACTTGGGTTTAAGATATGAAGCTACTTGTTCAGACGTGGTCTTTATTCTTCATAGCCATAAAATAATAGATGCAAGAAAATGTTTTAATCTTTTTAGTACTCTAAACCTAAGATAGTATTATACATAATATATATACAAATAAGGAAACTTAGATATTTATAAAAGAAACATAAAAGTCTATTGTATATTATAGAACTTTGTTTCTTTCACAGTTTGCTTTACTGTACAAGTAGAAATAGTAGAAAGTGATACTGTTCTGGATTAATCTCTTGGAATTAAAGTAGATTTCTTGATGTGCATTGTGTTTTTTTTTCTTTTAAGGTGAAATGTTTTTCTGCCTTGCCATTTCCTTAATTTATTCTAAATGAAAAAAATTAGAATAGGTACCAACCATTAAGCACTGTGACTTTTTTTTAATAAGCTATACCAGGTTCTCTATCTAAATGATAGTCTCTTCAAAGGAGATTATATTTATTTCAAACCTTTTATCTTTCTGTAACTTTTTTAAAGTGGCCTTGAGTACCCATGAGTATACACTATGTGGTAAGTCTTTGCAGACTTTGGTGTACTTAATTTGTGAAATTACTCAAATATTGAGTTACCAGATGGTTCTGAATGACAAAATGATTAAACAAGGAAGGGATTAAATTAGGAATTTTTTTTTAGACTTTAGATATGGCTGCAGAGTGATGAGACAGGGAGAAGGAATTTCTTATATTTTGACTACTGATAATTCTGAAAGAAAGGTGATATGTTTTAAACAAAGGAAATTACATTTATTTTCATTCCCAGGGTGACTCCTTTTAAGAGGGCAAAGATCAGTTGAGTTTATCAATTCTGGCATGTTTATTAGAAAAATTAGTTACAGTACAGTCATGCCCTATAAATATCAGCAGACAGATTTCTGATAACTTCTACATTGAAGAACTTTAGCAGTGTCTACAGTGTCAGTATCTGGAACCCTGGAGCTTTAACATTAGAGCTGTCATATCCCTTCTGCATCTGTGAAAACGGGGTTCAGCATGGAAACATTTGAATTTCGCATATAGGATTTGGTTATCACATGTTCCACACAACTCTTCTAGAGACAGAAAAATGTACAAGGGGCAAGATGTAAATAAAGGATGGGAAAGGCAGTGTGGAAAAACACTTGGTTTGCAACTAGAGAACTGCAAAACCAGGCTTCACATTAAGCATGTGAAGGCAGAAGTTACTCTGAAGCCTGGAGCAGTGTTTCTCAAAATTTAATGTGCATGTGAATCACTTGGGGATCTTTTTAAAAAGCATTTCTGGTTTTGTAGGTCAAAATCAGTGGGCCCTAAGCTTCTGCATATCTAAAAACCTAAGTAATGCTGATAATGTTTTGAGTAACATTAGGTGGCCCTAGATGCTACTATATTGAAGTGGGAGACAAGTACTATCCCCTGAAACAACAACCATAAGAAATTTAACAGGGAAGGTATATCTATCGGTAACTAGTTTACAGTCTAGTAACAATAATAACGTTTTAGTTTTCCTAAAGAGATTAAACTAGGTGTGCTAACTTGTTGACTGAAGATATAATTATAAAAGGTGAAAAAGTTAAATGATTTCTATGTAAAAGTTACCTATTAGTGGATAAGAAAGATTTAGTACATATGTATAATGGGATATTCAGCCATAAGAAAGGATGAAAGACTGCCACTTGTGACAATGTGGATAGATCTTGAGAGCATCACGCTAAGCAAAATCAGACAAAAAAGGAAAATAACTATGATTTCATGCAGTGGGATATAAAACTAACAAATGAACAAACAAAACAGACACAGTCAACAGTACGAAGGTTACAGGAGGAAAGGGTTGGGGGAAGATAGAGTAAAGGGAGTCAAATATATGGTGATTGAAGGAGACTGGACTTTGGGTAATGAACACACAATGCAATATACAGGTGATGTATTCTAGAAGTCTACACTTGAAACTTAGATAATATCACCCCAATACATTTAATAAAGAGTTATCAGTTAATTTTACTTAATTGAGCCTTCGAGCTCAGTAAGTATGCTTATATAACACCTGCTAATAAAATAGAGATTCAGAGCTAGTAGAAATGGTTTTGTATAAACTACTTCAAGCAGCATAAAACACTCTTCTGTTCTCTTTTATTGTAATGTTATTTTTCTGATTATAAAGCACTGTTTTTTTTTTTTGAGGAAACCGGGAAAGACAAAAAACAGCATTATCCCATGGCTCAGATAATCACTTAACATTCTGAGATAGTTCCAAATGTAAAAAAACCAAAAACCAAAAAACTTCTTGTATTTTAAAATTTATTGTGACATGTCCACCTGTTTCCTTCACACTATGAGCATTTCTGATTATCTTTAGTCTTAAGAATAACAAATTTGATTAATGTCATATTATTCCATAACTGGATGTTACACATTTATTTAGCCATATTCTCTAACTGGGTATTTAAATTGTTGCCAGTTTTTTTATGTTATTATTTTTTTTAATCTGTCTTTTCTAGTTCTTTGAGTATTGGTGGGCTACAAAACTCCCTCCTGCTCAGAAGAGGAAGTTGTTCCCACTGTAAATTTCTTGACTGTAAACCTAAGAATGGACAACTTGGTCCTGCTGCTTTGATTTGTAATCCTGTTAGCATACGTCCTGTGTATCCTAAAGTACAAAGTGACAAGTACCTTGAAATCAATTATATCTGCATTTATGAACTTATTCTTCTCTGCAATTACTTTACAATCTTTTATTTTCTTGTAGTTTCAAAATGCAAAAGTCCTAGAGTTTTTACTTGAATGGTTTCCAAATTCAAAAGCAAAAAGCAGCCTCTAAAGTTATCTTCTAATTCCACAAATGTTATTGTTTGTACAATTGCAGACTGCAGCTACCATCACATTTCTGCTGCTTTCCATCAGGAAATATCAAATGCAAAATATTTAACACTGATTCAACACTAAGGATACACTGTTCATATTCAAATTTCACTAGTGTCTCAGTAATGACCTTCATAGCAATTTCACCCCCTCGATTCAATTTTGGTTCATGCTTAGAATTTTGTTGTTATGTCTACTTAATCTCCCTTACTTTGAAACAACTCTTTCAGTAAATTATTTTACAAGGAATTTATTCATTTAATCTCAGTTGTCAAATTAGCTGGCATAAAGTTGTTCATAATATTCTTACCGTAGTCCCCCTTATCCACGGGACATATGTTCTAAGATGTCCCAGTGGATGCCTGAAACCTCGGACAGTACCAAATCCTATATATACTGTTTTTTTCCTATACACACATACCTATGATATAGTTTAATTTGTAAAGTAGGCACAGTAAAGGATTAACAACAATAACTAATAATAAAATAGAACAATTATAACATACTGTAATAAAAGTTATGTGAATGTGGTCTCTTTCAAAATGTTTTACTGTTCTCACCTTTCTTGTGATGATGTGAAATGATACAATAACTACTTGTAGAAATGAAGTTAGGTGAATAATGTAAGCATTGTGTCATAGACTTAGGCTACTGTGAGGGTTACTTGAACACAAAGCACTGCAATACCACAACAGTCCAAATGACTACTAAATGACATTAAAATAGCCACTTATACTTACTGTTACATGATACATTATTTTTCACCCATTTACTTTAAATCTGTTAATGTAAACTACATTGATAATTTTTACCACAATTTTGACTCTTTTGGTAATCCTTGATTTTGTTTGAAGATTTATTCTAAAAATTTGCCCTAGAATTTTAGTTTAGCATATCAAAATTTATAAGATTCATTTATGTGTATTCATTTATGACTGGCACTTAACAATGTTATGTTTGTGAGATTCATCCTGGTTATTGCATGTAATTGTGCTTCATTTATTTTTATTGCTCTATAGTACTCCAGTGTATGAATATGCCAAAATTTATTCATTCATTTTATTAATATTTAGTGGTTTTCAGTTTTTTAATATCTTGAGAAATACTGCTTTGAATATTTTTATACATAATTCCCAATGTACTTGGGCACACATTTCTGTTGGGTATATCTCTAGAAATGGAATTCCCGGGTCCAATGTTATTTTAGCACATTTAGTAGACAATGTCAAATTGCTTTCTAAAGTGATTGCACCCAGTTACATTCCTCTAGCAGAGTCTGAGTCTTGGTGATCTATTTCCTAACCAACTCTTCTTACTTTAAGAATTTGTAATCTTTGCCAATCTTGTAGGTGTAAATATAACCCATGATTTTAATTTGCATTTTTCTGATGACTAATGAGATTAAGCCTTTTTTCCATTTGTTTATACTTGTTTTCTCTTCTGTACAGTGCCTGTTTAAGTCTTAAACTCAACTGAGATTTTTATAAATTGAGTTTTTAGGAATTCTTTATGTATTCTGTTTAATAATTCTTAATTAGTTTTATGTGTAACATAATTCTATTGCAAGTTAGCAATTTGTGTTTTTGAGTATTTTATGGAATATTTGGCAGATCAGAAGTCCTTAAAATTAAGAAAGTTAAATTTACTAATAGGTTGTACTTTTAAAATGCTCTGTCCATCACCTCAAGTAAATAAGGACACAGTAGTTTTATGGCGATAGGGCTTTTATTTTCTTGTTATGTAAAATCCCACTACTGCTCCATTTATAACTCTCAAGAGCCCCTATGAATCATTTGGGGACAGGGAGGGAATCTGTGGGAGATTTGGTCTTGCCCAAATTCTAAAAGCAGAAATTGTGCCCACCAAGAAGTATTTTGTTACTCATTACTGTGACCACATTAGTAATTCTCAGCTTATTGGGGAACCTCCTTGACTTCTTTATTTGCAGAGGGAAAATGTATCTGAATGCAACCTACAGAGGTGGACTCATTTCCTATGAAATTGACAAAATATATGAGTAAATTCAGGGGGTCTCTTTAAGAGGAAGAAATTTAGAGAAACTTCATCTGTGTTTGCACCTGGCCCCAGCGCTAGCATCACGGACTCAGCTCCACCTCAGATCATCATTAGATTCTCATGGAAGCACTGGTCCCTGGTGCTAAAAAAGGTTGGGAACTGCTGATTTAGAGAGCATAGAAAATTAAAAGAGGGAAAATAGGAGGGGACTGGATTCAATCCGTTTTCAAAGTTGATAGGAAACTAGAGCAAGGAGGGGGACAGTAAGCTGGGTTTTCTCTTTTGTTAGCTCAGTTAGACGACAATAGGTATATTTGAGGTTTTGGCCATCAGGACAACTCTAGGTAGAGTGTAGTTCATCCTTTGCTGCTGGAGAAGAATGCTCAAGAGGAAGAAGTCAGGTAGTTTGGCTTGTAATCAGATCTATCTCTCCTGGGCTGATTAGAGATGGGTTAAAATCTCAGTTCTAATGAGAAATCAAATTTTTAATGCCAGCGTTTGGCATTTAGCAGTTTACAAGGACAAATAATCTTTCTACTTATTTTATAATCTCAGAGAGCTGTGGGATTCCAACAGTGCTCAGATAAGGGTATATATTTCAGTGGATTTTGTTTAGAAAGGTTATCAATAGAGACTTACAATTACGAGGCTATCAAGGAAGAATTAATATTTCTGAGGGAAAAATGAAAGGCTATCCAAAATTATTTAACTTTATTTTATCTCCCAACTCCCATTAATATTTTTCTCTCTTTATAAGGATGATTTTTGCGGAATATTTTAAAAGAAACTCTCTTAGTCTGGGAAGCTGAATTGTGGTTGTATTTTTATAATTTTGTTTGAAGGATGATTTAATGTAAAACTAATAACACATTGGAATTACATTCTGTGAAAATATTTTTGAAAGTTGACTGTATGTCATATGTATTCATGTAACTGAGGAATACTTTCTGGTAGTGAAATGTAGTAAACCAGGGATATGAAGAAAAAACTGATGACATCTGAAAAGAAAAACTAAAGTTAGTCATGAACTAAAGTTAATGACTTTTCAATTTCTTTTTGTTTGGGTACACTGGTTGATGCGTGTGATATTTAACTAGAAGCTTAATGAATAATGCATAGAAGGAATACTTCACCTTTAGGCTTATTTAAAGAAAGAGCTGCATCTACTCTCTCAGTGACTATCACACGTAGACCTTTGATAAGTTTTTGTTGAACTACTAATCAATTTGACCAAGAATTGGAGATATGAATTCCATTCCTGACTCTGCCATGTATTTCTGTGTAACCTTAAAGTACTCGATTTCTTGAATATTTTTACAAGAGAAATATGGTAATTTTGGGCTATACAATCATTTTTTTAAAGTTTCCAGGGAACAATGTTTTATTCACCATCATATTCTCATTCTCAGCACTTCTCTCTCCTTAGGCTCATTCTCATCAGCCTGTATTCATGCTAGTGTCTATCTGATCTCTCTCTCTCTCTTCCCCTCCCCTCCTCCTTCTCCCCTGCCCCTCTTCCCCTTCCTCCCTTTCCCCTCTTCCCCTCCCCCCCGTCCCTTTCCTCTCCCCTTCTCCTCCTCCCTTCCTCTTTCCTCCCCTCTCTGGCCAGACCCAGAGGTACTCCCTCCCCCTCCCTTCCCCTTTCTGGGGTAGCTGGCATAAAACTAGATCCTACAAATCATTAAAAGTACATTAGATTATCTGTCAATTTCTCTTCATTTTTCTTTACAGGGGTTCCTTTTTTGCTGCTTTATCATAACTGAAAGTCCCCATGTGGAAGAAAAAGTTTTCCATAAGGAGTTTGTTACTCACTGGAGTTTAATTTAGATTCTTTGCTTTCCTGGCTTCTGGTTTATAAAAACAAAAACAAAATTGATTTTGTAGTTAATCCAGATACTTTGGTTATTGGAATAGGAATGATGGTCCTTTTTGTGGCTTTCTCCACACTAACCAAGAAAGAAGGGCATTCCTTTTAAGAGGGAGGTTATAAAAAGGTCAGCAAGACTTCTGTTTACCTAGAGGACTTGTCAGCTTCTAGTTTTTCTTAGGACATGGTAAATTCTAAACACTAAGCTGTAACTATTTTTTTTTTCTCTAAGGAGAAATACACATGTCAGCCTCCTTGTTCTCCCCAAAGATTTTATTTTTGTTCTTTTGAGAAGATCCCTCTATTTATTATGTCCTGTTGGAGGTAAATTTTTAAATGCCAAGCATTTTGTTTGTAGGACTTGGGCAGGGTATTAGTAATAGAATCATCTGTTCCATGTATACAAATGTTTAGCAAATCTCCCTGTTTTCAATGCTACATCTCACTCTTCTCCTCCACCGCTCTTGACTTTTTAAGGATTTTTAAAGATGGTGATATCTTCCTTGGATGTGTTGATACCATTCATGCATATTTTGACTGATGCTTGGTTCATTATTATTATAAAAGTTATCAACTTTCTTTTTGTATCTTCTAGACATCTATTGGCAGCTCCCAGGTGTCTCGTATTCAAAAGTTATTTCAGGGTATTTGCTAAATAACTGAAGAGTTAGAGCAGAATCCCAAGCAGCCTGATTCCTGGTTCAGTTCACTGTCTTATTTCTTTCTTTCATATTTCTTTCTATTCTGAGGTTTTACTGAAGACATTACTGAAGAATCATCCAAGGTGCCACACTGTAACGATGATTCAGTTGACAGCTAGCTACTCCTGCGAATGCCCTTTTTGATGATCTAGTGCATATCTGAGCTACAGGCCTGACTCCCTTTCAGATAGTGCTTCTTCAGGCATCACTAAAAGATGAAAAGGGGAACCTGTTTCATTCTCATGCCTACTATAGGGCCAGTGAAAATAGTGAGGTAGACCTGGAGCATGCCTCTTCACTTGAAGGTGACTACGTTGGAGTCTACCCCATGGGTCTCTTCTGGTCCCTAAAACCTGAAAAGAAGTTTACTAAATTGCTGAAAAGGGATGTAATAAATAGCCCCTTCCAGATCCAATTGAAACTTTATGATTCAGATTTCACAATGATCCCCAGTGTGACCACTGCTTCAAAGGTCAGCCTAATTTTGGAGAGGTGGTATGTAGCACCTGGTGTCACATGGGTCCAAGTCCGAGAAGGCTGCATTCGGGGAGCTCTCTTTCTCCCTCCGGGTGAGTGGGATTGCCCTGGTTCTTGTCATCCTTCTTTTCCTCCTTCAAATGCCTTATCCTTCTAGGAGTTTAGCTTGGATACAGATAACAGAGAGCATTCCTTTTCTACCTTAGAATTGAGGTTAACTGGGTTAGGACAAGAATGTGGTGATCTATTCTTCCAACTCAAGTTTCATCTCAATGATTCTGGAGCTTGTCTAAGGATATGACTACAAAAAGTTGTGGAGTCCTTGTATTATGGGATTTCCATAGTTTTGGATTTATGTGAAATTTATCTGCATCGAACCTTAGCTATCTGAAGACCCACATCCTGATATTGTGGATCATGTCCCCATTTTTGCGGGGGAGTGTTCTGTCATATCTGAGTTTCAATTTAGGTGTAGGTCATGCAAGATTGTCACAATAAGCTGATAATTTAATGAATTGAAATGTTGCAACAAATATAGAGGATGCAAAAAAGTTTATACCCTCTATTTCCATAACTATTGCATATTTATAGAATATTCTATAAATCAGAAAATAATACGTCATTCTCTCTAGTAGCTATAAAACTTTCCAGAATACTCATAGTTTCCCATAGTGATCTCCCCATATCGATAGGTGTCTCAAAACATCTATTGTTCTATTTCTCAGAGTTCATTGTAGGTCTGAATGAAGCAAAGCTCATTTCCCAGAAGTAGCCCTAAGCAGGTCCAGGTTTCAGGTATGTCTGAGATTCCCTTATTCAGATTGATGCTTTGATCTGGGACACAGCCATCACATCATCAGGATATTATTGCCTTTCTCTCTCTTTTTTTAATAATCACCTTGTAGAACTGAGATAGGTTGAGGAAATCTGACATGTTAGAGCTGGTTTCGGACAGCATAAAGTTATAGATAGTGTAGAAGGAATAAAAACTTTCCAAATTCACCAAGACCTATGCACTTATTTGGGTAAATTGGAATTTTTTTTTTTTTTTTTTTTTACACCCAGTAATGAGTATATAGGCTACTTTATTGTGTGTAGGGATTAGGAAGTAAGTAGCACAAACCTCTGTGCCTCTATTACCCCACCTCAGTTAAAATCTGAATATCAGTGCAGGCCTTCCACCTTGGGATGATGTGCTGGTTTGGAGCGCACTGTTTGGGAAGGCTCTTGGACACTGCACGCGCTGGCTCTTCTGCTTCAGGTACTTGTTCTGTGGGGATACAAAGGAAGGTTGAGTTGTGCGGGGCCAAAAGAGGTTGAGTCTGATCTCAAAGCATTTCTCAACTACAGTGTTCTTCTAAAATAAGAGGCTCAGTACTCTTGAAGTGTTTCCTTTATTCCTGTCAATCAGAAGATGCAAAAGCATCCCTATTTATTCACTAAAGTGATATTTTTAAACCAAGATACATTCAGTATTGTTTTATTTTTTCTTTTCTCAAAGTGAAAAAACATAGCAATGTTTGTTTCAAAATTCCCAATATGCCTTTAAATCAAGCCACTCTTTTCATATGGATGGGACTAGTTTTCCTTGGCTAAAATTGCTCATAACAAAAATAGAATCTCCTCAGTAAGTGCAGCTTGTATTACTTTCAGTATATATGCTCTGCTTTATTTTGGAAAGAAGCTGCCTACACAGAGTTTGACTGTAGAATGATATTATGCTCCAGTGAATGAACAGTGCTATTTCATGAAAGAGCTAATCATTTACGTCTGCTTGGATGCAAGATTTAATGACTATATAGTCAGATGAGTGTAACAGAGCAGTGTTAAGTCAGGATTTTAGCTAAAAAAATCATTTTGATAGCCCCCTTTTTGAAAAACCATATATTTTTGAAGTCTTTTTTGGAGCTTTGAGAACTCTTTTAAACCTGTGGAGCCTCTCATCAATAAAATGAACATATAATCACGTGCATTTCGTATATAATTTCGGGGTCTTCATTAATCTCTTGAAGCCTATTTGTGTACCTATTTACAGATTAAGGAACTCAGGCCTAATTTCTTTGGCTTTCTTTACTCTAAGGCTGTAGAAGTGAACCTCTTTGAGTCCCCATTTTCCTTGGCCACAGAGATTAAATATGTCAGTGAACATGGTTTCCAATCACACTTCTGGATACTATGTTCTATTATATAGTCAATCCACTTTAATTCTGCCCCAGATACAATGCTGAAAATTTTCTCTTGTACGTTAATTCCAAAATTTGTGATGCATTTCCTTTTTGTGTCGTCATTTTTCTTTTCTTTTCCTCACCTTCCCTTCATACCCGATTCTGTTCTGTTTTGTCCTTTTTTAGGAGAGGGCTGTTTCCCAGGGGTAACTGATTTGTTTGGTAATGCTGGGAAACTGATTAAGAGCCAGGCCAGTTTCCTGGCTAGTCATAGCTTTGTCACCTTGGCTTTGGCTTACTGTGACTATGAAGACCTGCCTTCAAAACTGGAGAAAGTAGATTTAGAATATTTTGAGGAAGCTACCAATTTTCTTCTAAGACATCTGAAAATAATTTTTGCCTTTTCAGTAGGTCTCAGTCCATGTGTTTTTAATAACCATGTATTCTTTGACTTCTTTTGATTTCCAACTGTGATTCTCCCTCAGTAAAATTAAAATTCCATTACATAGCCATACTAGTCATAGAATTTATTTCTTATGCAGTGTCTTTTGCTCAAAAATTTGAAATGTATAGGAAGTGTACCTGTGTACATCATGGTATCAAAAGGCATTGGCTTTGGTTTCTGACAGAAATGGGTTACATTTCCAGCTCCATCCAATCTGGTTGTGAGAATTTGGGCAAGTTACTAAGACCCTCTTTCTTCATCTGTTAGATCATATCATAGTGAGACTACTTCATAGTTATTGTGAGAATTAAAGGGGATAATAGAAATAAAATGCTTATGAGAGTAACTGGCAATACTAATACTAACACTCAATAAATGTAAGCAATTATTATTTATATCATCTTTTCTGATAACTATTATATCACCATACTTAACCAAACAGATAATCTGTATGTCTTTGAAGAGTTGCTATAAATTTTTAGTTACTTGAGAGGTAAACATTATGCTGTAGTACTTTCCAGTCCATATGCCTTTAAATCTTAAAATGTGCTTTCTGCTGTAAAAGGGTTGGTGCTTGTTATCCCTTGTAATTTTCCATTTTTTTTCTTAGTAAGAATCGATCTAAGAAAAATTAAGTCTCTGTACTATATCCGTTTTCATATAAGGATCACACAAATATGATCAGAATTGCAATAGTAAGATGAGCAACAATTACTGACAATCTACTGATGCATTGAAATTATTAATAGCTATTTTTGATGCATATAATGGAATTGTCCTTGAATGGCCCAACAGGCAATGTTATCATTGTGCTAAGCTTCTGCGTGGCTTAGATGGGAAACGTAGTTACGCCATCCTGCTTTACATTTTCTTAGCCTCATTCACCTTATATTCGCTGCATGACTTTTGTTTTGCTGTTCTTACCAGTGTCACAGGGACCGCTGGTTAACGACTCAGCCAGGCCTGGAAACCAGGTTTCTTTCCTAGGCTCTGAGTACTTTTATTAAACCTGCCGTGCACTGTCTCTTCTGTGGAACGATAGACCACAAATCTGTCAGTTCTTTGTAGAACTTATTACTCCATCTGTTGATGTTAAGCATCTTCAAAGATCTCTAAAAATCCCTGATCCCAAATTTGGTAACAAGAGTTGGTGTTCTGCCAAAGGCCAGAAACAAATTAGATAAAGCCTGCACATATTTGAGTCACTTAAAAAAAATTAAAGTATAGTTAACATATAATACTATATTAGTTTCAGGTGTCCAGCATAGTGATTTGACATTTATATACCTTACAATGTGATCACCACGATAAGTCTAGTAACCATCTGTCACGATACAAAGTTATTACAATCTTATTGACTATATTCCCTGTGCTGTACGTTACATCCATGTGACTTTTTGTTGTTGTTGTTCATCTGTGTTATACTTGCTTTTACTTTATCTTCCATGGCCAAATCCATTCTGAGTTCTCATGTCTCCTATGACTCTAATATTTTGTATATTAATACACAGAATTTCAGAGCTTGGAAAGTCCTTTTAATTCGATCCACTCCTATTAATATACAGGGTAGAAATGGACAGTATATATGACTCACTCAATTTGTTTCATTTTTCCCCCTTACCTTAAGAATTTCTCACATTCTGTCAACTGGATACAAGTGGTAGATTCATTCATATCTTTCTAAATCGTAAGATACTCCCCCCCACTCCCAACATTAGCTAATAAAATGCCTTGTTTTCTTAAGAAAACATAGGAAATCAATTAAGGCTTTAGAAAAGATTTGACCCTCTGTAACATTGAGGAGAAGGCTGGGAAGTTGAAGAAATATCAATCTAGCCTCCTCCATCAGAAACTCCACGGGCTTTCTGAACCAGAGCTGTAACCATCTACCTCTATACGTGTTTTATGAGAATAAAATGCCTTATGCTGATATTGGTTAAGCCACCATCAGCCACTTTTCTGGGAAACAGCCAAAACTTTCCTAATGGATTCACCATGGGAGGAGCAAAATCTCTATCCTTGCATGGAGCCAGAGCTCAAGGAAAATCAAGGCTTTATTTTGTGCTGTAAGAAAAAAAAAGTCATCTTTTAATCCTTCTCATTTGCTCTCTCATACCAAATTGGTGACTGGGAGCTGTACATTCTGCACTCATAAATAACTCATGAACTTATTTGCTTCTTATCCCCACTGGTGTTACCTTAGTTCAGGGCACCATCATTTTTTGCCTGTACAGTTGCAATAAGCTTTGGCTTTTCTGCCTCCATATGTTTAAGTCAGACTTATAATACTGATTTTACTCACTTGCTTAAAGGTCTCCCAATTTACTACAGGATAAAGGCAGGCTTCCTAGCATGCTAGATAAAACTTTTCATGATCTGACCTCTGCATACTTCTTTAGCCTTATCTTAAGCCTATCCTTAAAATCTGTCCTGATTATCTTCTGCAGTTAGGTAAAAGGTCAAGGCTGATTAGCATGTTCTTCAAAGCTCTTCATTACCAAGTTGCTGTTTTCTTTCCCAACCTTCTTTTGCTATAAACTCAAGTGATAAAGAACTACCTGTGATTCCTTCAATGCATTGCTTCTTAGTTTTTGCTCCTCCCTGGCGAATCCATTAGGAATGTTTCAGCTATGTTTCCCAGAAAAGTGGCTGATGGTGGCATAAACAACATCAGCATAAGGCATTTTATTCTCGTAGAACACGTATGGAGGTAGATGGTTCTAGCTCTGGTTCAGAAAGCCAGTGGAGTTTCTGATGGAGAAGACTGGATTGATATTTCTTCAATTTCCCAACCTTCTCCTCGATGTCTCAAGATGGCTGTGGCAGTTTCAGGCATTAAGTCAACATGGAAACATCATAAGCAAGAAAGAATAGTCAGAAACCTAGGCTTTCTTCTCATGATTCTATGCCATTTTATGTGAGGGGGAAAAAACCCAGACTCTAGGTTGAATGTGTTGGTCTTACAAGAGAGGCTGAAAGAATATGTAGCAAAGGGGAATAGGTTCAGAGCCATCAGAATTTATCACTTGAGACTAGATACATTGCTATGTACCACGAAATGGAGGTCTTGTTGGCCTTCAAATTGCAGAGAATGGCTCCTGTGTAAGCAGCTAACAGTGTCTACTATGCTCAGCATAGAATACCAACACTTCTTATTTGCGCCCGCTGTTATTTATTTATTTATTTATTTATTTATTTATTGTTTTTTTATTTTTTTACTGTTTTTAAAGAAAGATTTATTTTTATTCACAGTAATAAAAAACACATTCCCTAAATAACTCCCTCCATAAATATAAAAACAAATTATTTGACAAAGCATAAGGCTACATTTTAATAGGTAACTCTCTTTCACTTTATCTTGTTCCCCTTCCCGATTTTTCAAGTATCAGCTGGGTTTTATTTCAAACATGGTCTGAACATTTTTTAAAAATTAATTTTAATTTTTTATTTTTTGTTGACATTGGTTAACGAAATCCAGTAAGTTTCAGGTGTACGATTTAAATGTGCCCATTTTTATATATGCAGACTCAACTTATCCATTTCTTTCGAGAATCTTTCTTTAATCCTGCCTTTATTCTTTGACAAGCTGAGTTGGCAGCCTTACCTATATGCACTCTTATTTATAAGATACTATAATCATCATTTTTTTCTTTCCTGTCACTTTAGCTGGCAGCGAGTTCTTTAATGATAAGAGATCATGCCTTTCTTCTCTGTGTACCCAGTGCTTGGTACAGGGTGCATGATCTAAAAATGCTTGTTTGATGACTGACAATGAAAGAAGCCGAGCCAAGCCTCCTATATGAAAACTTTCTCCAAAGGAGAAACCTTGTGAGGAAACCAAAGCAAGTCTAGAATCCTCTGTTCAAGTTTTCATGCTCTATCCTACTAATCTCACCTTTTTTCTCTGTCTTTTCCTACAGAGTGTGCTTTCCTCTGACCCTCTAGGGAGCTCAGAATTTGTACCACAGAGTTTAACAATTATATCATGACTCATATTATTCACAATAGTTATATGCATTTTTCTTATTCTCCTCACTACACTGGTACTTCCTTAGGGTATTTTAAACTCAGCACCCAACACAGTGCTGAATCCATAGTACTCAGTCAGTAAAGATTGACATATTTTTGAGGGAGTATTTCCTTTAAACACATATTCTATATATTCCAGAACTCTAGAACTAGGCATGGGGGTGGGATTAGTACTTTCTTTGCTCCCACTGGCCACAGAAGTTCTTTGGTTGTTTGAAATTGTAGGGTTTTGCTAAATGATGGATAGACTCAACATCTCATCGCCATTATTTTCAGGTCCTTGGCCCAGGCATTGGGGTAGTCTCCATAAGCAAAGGAGCAGAGATTGGACTCTCCATGGCTACTCACCTGAAACAAGTCATAGCCATATTTATTAATGAGCCCAACTTCATAGCTTCAATTCCATAGGTATATCATGGGCAGATAAGTCAACCCTTGCCCTTGTCTCTACAATTTGTATACATCAGCAGCTTAGGATTTATAGAGCTTTAACACTGTTTTGTGGAAACTGGAATTGAAGCCAGTCACACTTTTCTCCTCCCCATTGAAAAAGCCCAGGGACATTTTCTCTTCATTGTGGCAGAAGAAGATAAGAATCTCAATAGCAAAGCTTATGCTCAGCAAGCCACAGAACAGCTGAGGAGAATGGGAAGAACAATTGGACCCTGCTATACTACCCTGGGGCAGGCCACCTAATAGAGCTTCCCTATACCCCACTGTGCCGTGCCTCAGAGATGCCCAGTCTTCCTGCCTTTCTGCGCTGGGGAGGACAGGTGGTCCCACATGCTGCTGCACAGGAACATTCTTGGAAGGAGATCCAGAAGTTTCTCAGAAAGCGCCTCCTTCCGGTTGCGACCAGTCAACTTTGAGAAGAGTAGATAGTCCTAAGAAATAGAGAAGCACCAGGGTGTTTTACCAGATCTTCACTTGATTTTCATAGAGCAATGCCTTGGACCTCTCATTGTAAGAAGGAAATTATAGCAAGAGAAGGCAGGAGGACTGAGAATGGTCATATCTTGACTTGGCAAAGGGAAAACTATTTCCACTTAATCCGATATACGCTGAGGGTTTTCTATTTTTAGAAATAAACTGAGGGCTCTACTTGCCCTGAAATATTCCACTTTACAATGACAGCAATTCTCTAGGGGAAAAAATTACCAACAACAAACCACAGAATTCTCTACCTTATAAAACAGACATGAATAGAATCAGGGGCTGATTTCTTAAAAGTCAATTATATATGCTTAAATCTCATGTTTGAAAATATGTTCATGGCTCTTGGTTACTTCGTTGTCATTGGAGAGCTAGAGCTGGGTAAAAAAAATACGTCGTTTTAAGGCAAAATGGAAGCTGATATGGAGGTAACATCCTTGAGTCAGTCTACAATCAGTAATTCAACAAAATTTAATAAAATAAAACAAAATAATTTTTTGTGTCTAAACAGGTACAGCATTTTGAGAGAGGAACAATTCAAGATTCACAGAGTTGCAATTTAGCCGTGATGGTGTAGATTGATTATGTGCCTCCAGATTAGGGCCTGACAAATTCTTTCTAGTAAAGTACTTTTAAATAGTTTTGGCTTCGTGGGCCATAAGGTCTCTATTACTACTACCCAGCTCTGCAATTATAGTACAAAGCAGCCGTAGATAGGATATAATGAATGATTGTGACTGTATTCCAATTAAACTATTTATGGATGCTGAAATTTTCATTTCATATAATTTTTACATGGAACAAAAATACTAATTTTCTTTTCATTTTTCCCCAAGCAGTTACATATGTAAAAACCATTCTTAGCTCACAGGCAGCAGAAAAACAGGCCATAGGCTAAATTTGGTGTGCAGGGCATAATTTGAGGATCCTGCATATAGAGCAATCCAAATGACCTTGTCCAAGGTCAAATTTGAGGTATCTTCTCTAAGGGGCAAGTCACAGCCCAAATATTCCTGAGCTATGGAATTGCATTGGATGGAACTGGAAGGTGATTGATAGATAATCAAGATGAAGATGAACCAATAGAAAAGTATTTTGAAAATATGATAGGGAGCCAGTGAGGAATTAGAGTAATAGAAGTAATATGAGGACGTTTCAGTTACATCTGCCTAAACTCTTTCTTTTATCTGTTTTCTGATATTCCCTCTGTTTAGAGTAAAATCATTCCATTCAGTATGATTGGGGCTATTAGCCTCCCTCCTCTCCCATTCATAGACATTTTCACATTTCCCAGACCTGGCCAATCACAATATCCCACTCCTTCAACTGTCCTAATTGTGTAATTGCAATGACTAATACCTTCTATTCTATACAGTAGTTATATGTGTTATGTGCTACATACATTAGTTATATATGCAACATGCTATATGATAGTTATCATAACGGGTATAATTTTATGTGTTTCCTGTTTTGGACTTTAGGAAGAATGCCTGTCTGTAAGGTATGATGTTGGTGTTTGGTCTGATATATACCCCTCGATTTATAGTTTATGGATTTTTCTTTTAAATCAAGAAGGTTTAGGTTTCTTTTAGGTGCTCTTTCAGCATCACTGGAAATGATTATATGTTTTTTTTTCTCTGTAGATCTATTACTATGATGAATTATTTTTTCTAGTATTGAATCATCTTTGCAATTGTAGATAAAAACTTACTTGGTCAAGATGTATTCTTAATTAACTATAATAAATAAGACTGAACCACTGTGTGTGTGTGTATGTGTGTTTGCTTAAGTAGTACACCAATGTTGTACTTGTTTTATAAAAAGAATTTAAAAGTTTTTCTTCCTTGTTATAGTAGTTTAATTAAGACAGAAATATGTTCCCTTTAAAAGCTAGTAGCTCTATTCTGGGTATTCTACTGTTCCTGGTAATTTTTTTTAAAAGACAACCTGGATTTTTATTAATAATTGGTATATATCTTGTCTGTACCATAGTAGATTTTTTTCAAATCGTACTAGTTCTTTATTTTTTTAAACATTTTATATATCACAAAAATCAGAAACATTTGAAATTAAACTATGATAAAAAATATTTTTAAAATACCCTCCAATTTTGACACATTAATGTTGCAAAAGTTAAAACAGAAATAAACTTCACATTAATTTTATTTAATTTTTAAAATCATATGAACAAAACTTTGTAGAAGTTTCTGGCATTTTGTTGTTGTTGTTGTTGTTGTTGTTGTTGTTGTTGTTGTGGGAAAACAAATAAGACATAACACTTACCATTTTAACCATTTTCAGGTGACTGTGCACTGAACTATACCATGACATTGAGTACATGCACATCGTTGTGCTTCCATCACCACCATTAGTTTCCAGAACTTTTTCATCTTCCCAAACTGAAACTCTATACTCATTAAACAATAACTTCCCATTATCCCCTTCCCCTAGTCCCTGGCAACTTTTCTATTTTTGCTTTTTGTTTGTTTATTTTTGTTTTTAAGTTGTATGAATTCTATTTTCTGTTATTTTTATGTTATTTTTTAAACTACTTTAGATACCTCATATAAGTGGAATCATACAATATGTGTCCTTTTGTGTCTGGCATATTTCACTTAGCATAATGTCTTTAAGGTTCATCCATGTTGTAGCATGTGTCAGAATTCTCTTCTTTTTTAAGATTGAATAATATTCCATTGTATGTATACATCCCTACATTTTGTTTATCTATACATCTGTCAATGGATATTTGGGTTGATTCTACTTTTCGACAATTGTTAAAAAATGCTGCTGTGAATATTGATGGATAAATATCTGTTTGAGTCCCTGTTTTCAGTTTTTTGGTTGTATATCCAGAAGTGAAACTACCAGGTCATATTGCAATTCTATCTTGATTTTTTGAGGAACCACTGTATATGTGTAATGTCCAAAATATATAAAGAATTCATACAACTTAAAAACAAAAATAAACAAACAAAAAGCAATTAAAAATGGGCAGAGGATCTGAACAGACATTTTTCCAAGGATGACATACAGATAGCCAACAGGTATATGAAAAGATGTCCAGTATCACTAATTATTAGGGAAATGCAAATTGAAACCACAATGAATATGAAAACACTAATTCAAAAAGATAAGTGAATCCCTATGTTCATTGCAGTATTATTTATAATAGTCAAGATATGGAAGCAACCTAAGTGTCCATGATAGATGAATGGATAAAGAAGATGTGGTATATATGTACAATACTACTTAGCCACAAAAAAAGATGAAATATTACCATTTGTGACAACATGGCTGGATCTTGGGATATGCTAAGAGAAAGAGTCAGGTGGAAAAGGACAGAAACCATATGATTTCACTCATATGTGGAATAGAAAACAAATGAACAAACATAACAAAACCATACCAAACTCATAGATATAGACAACAGAATGGTGAGTACCAGAGGGGAAGGAGGCTGTGGGTAAAGGGGGTCAAATATGTGGATGGAAAAATGGATGGAAAGTAGACTTTTGGTGGTGAGCACACAATAGAGTAAACAGATATTGAATTATAATGTACACTTGACCTTTATATAATATTAACCAATGTTACCTCAATAAAAATTAGTTAATAAAAAATGAAAATCATAATCAGCTATTTTGCTAAAATGTGGGCACAAAATAAATGTCTAATAATTTATGAATTATGAATGTCTTTATTTTATTACTCATTTGAAACATTGCTGGCCCATAGAGAGAACACCTAGATATATATTATAATAATTCAATTCAATTGTCTTTGATATTTGCCAACTTCTAGTCATAGAAAAATCTACAAACATTTTTAATTTTGTCATTATGATTGTATATTTCAAGGTAGGAGGTAGGAGAGAACCTATTGTATTGAATTGTTCGTTCCTTTGGTTTATAATTTTAAATGTTTGTAATATTGTATGTAGGTCTTAATTTTTACTATTGCTCCACATCCCACAAATGTAAGGGATAGGCTTGTACATTACAAGTACCCACCACTTTCTACAGATGAATTCTTGGTAATATGGCTCTGACTGGCTGCAAGGAAGGCTGGGAAATATAGTCTAGCCCAGGAGGAAAAGAATGGCATTTGTGGAAAACATCGTGGTCTCTACCACACAGTCTCATTAAAAAAACAATAACAAAAGCAAAGCAAAACAAACAAACAAACAAAAAACCTTAGTAACTTTCGAAGTACCAGGTTCTTTAACCTACTTGGTCTCAGTGGCTATGTGCATTATTTGCTTGGAACTATCAGGTGTCAGCTTTCAGAATTTTAGATGATCTAGTGTAGTGTTTTAAAATTTGATGTAAGTTTTACTACTGATACACAAGATAATTTTAGATGGTTCTGAAACATTTTTACTTCAGTGGTTATTTACTTCATAATAATGCATACCAGAAAAGAATTACTATTTTATTAAACCTATGTTTTCATGAGTGTTATTATTTAAGATGGAGTTAAGATAAAAAGGGAATATATTTTAAAAATTAACTAAACAAAGCAGACTCCACATTTACTTACTACAACTCAGATATACAAACACAGAATTTTCTTTAATTTTCTATAAAAGAACCAGGCTTTTTATCAAACAACTGTTTCCAATGATGGTGGAGGGGAAAAAAAAACAACATAAACCAGGTCATTAAAGGTATCTTAATCTTTTTCTGTTTCATGTAGCCCATGTTCATGTAAATATTGAGTTAGTTTGAA